GAAATGGCAGACACGTTTGTGAATCCCCCAAGCAAGGGTCAATCACCCCGATCGAAACACGCTTCAACCCTCGTCGAGGACCTGACGAACGCGCCATCCATTCCGTCCATGATCAAAGCCAAGCGCGCTTCCTTCCGCCTACTTCAGTGCAGCGACGAAGAGTGTGAAGTCTTCACGTCACTTAATCGCACGATTCAGACGCAATGCCGAGCCAAGAACAACGTCCAGTTGATGTGGGACACCTCGCCGACAACAGTTCTTCTTGTCAAGAAGCCGAACGAACCCAACGTCTCGCGGACGATGCGTGAGGTTGCCGCATGGCTCATGCATGATAAGCACATGCGAGTGTTCCTCGAGCCCAAAGTACACGACGAGGAAGGCCTTGCCGGAACAGTTACATGGACCGATTCGCAGGACTGGCTCACAAAGCAGCATGAGATCGACTTGGTCGTGTCATTTGGTGGCGACGGCACCGTGTTGTGGGTGTCGTCTCTCTTCAAGACAAATGTACCGCCAGTGTTTTCGTTTGCGATGGGGTCGCTCGGCTTCCTCACGCCGTTCGACGTCTCGCGGTACGAAGGTAGAGTGAATTGTGCTATTGGAAGCACCTAATCCGGTTCGCGGCAGAGCACTTGACGCAACTCATTCGAGGCGGATTCCACATGTCACTGCGACAGCGCCTCATTTGCACCATCATCCGCGCTGACAACACCCCGCATGTCGAAAGCGTTGCCATGCCGATCCATGCGCTCAATGAGGTAGTTATTGACCGCGGGCAATCGGCCGCTCTAGTCGAGTTGGATTGCTTCTGCGACGACGTTGCGTTGACCAAGATAAGCGCCGATGGTATCATCATTGCCACGCCGACAGGCTCCACCGCATACTCGTTGTCGGCGGGCGGTAGCATGACTCATCCCAGGTAATTGCTGCTCGGTCCATCAAATATCCTCAATTGTTCCCAGTGTGCCGTGCATGTTGTTCACGCCCATCTGCCCCCACACGCTATCGTTTCGTCCGCTGCTGTTCCACGACAGCGCACATCTCAAGATTGTCGTGCCCACCACGGCGCGCACGAGTTCGGTAAGGCGCCAAAATGTCACATCGGGTCTTTCATCGTTGCAACGACTTTGTTCGAAATGAGTAGGTGATGACGTCGTTCGACGGCAAGGTTCGCGTCGAAATGAAATCGGGCGATACGCTACATGTCCGCGTGTCAACGTTCCCGTTGCCCAGTGTGTGCAACCTCAATGAAAATGAAGACTGGTTTGCGTCCGTCAAGAGCAACTTGAACTGGAACCAGCGCAAAGAGATGAAACCTTTTTTCCCAAACGCAGCGCCGACATCGTCGTCGTCGTCGGTGGACGGGCTGGAGTAGAACCGGTAGGATTTCGAGCACAACGTGTAACGAATGGAAGTTCCCACGTATTTGGTTTGACTGGGGGCCGTCATAGCTTCTCGGCAGCTCCACGTAACATGGACTTCCTTGGAATCTGAAGGCGTGCCACCCTACAACCGAGCGATATGATTGGCGAATTCCACACCAATCGCATGCGAGGGATTTTTGACATGGGGAAAAAGAGCGCTTCAAACGCCGACTGCCCGCCTTGCCATGGTGGTGGACCAACTCCGCGACGCGACCACTTGTCTGGAGAGTGTCCTGGATACGCTGAACAGCATCCAAGCGTGCGACGCAACTGAAGTCACCCAACTGAGGGACCAGGTGAGGACTCTCGAGACACAAGCACGGGAGAGTGCGAACGAGATTACAAGGCTGCGACAGCAAGTGCTCAACCTCCAGGAACAACTTCGCGATGTCAATGAAACGACAGTCCATGCGACCATCCCTCCCTTGAATCTATCCGACGGCGCCATATACGGCATTGGATCCACAGGCGACGTCGTGAGGTACGTACAGCCCATGCCTGAAGCCGTTCATGACTTGGACGTAGAAGCCATGCCGACACGATTCCAAGTCCCAAAAGCCCCCACGGGCGAACAGGTTTTCAAGACTGCTTGTCCGACGAAGAAAATGAAGAAATTACCACGACTTTATCACACCTTGTCGACCACGGAAACTACGACGCTGTGCGGCATCGCGCGTCATTCAGTCTCGTTCTACGCAGCGACAACGTCCAGGATGAGTTCGTGCCGCCACACCGCACGATTCGAACCAAATGTCATGCGAAAAACAGCGTCCAGATGAAGTGGGCGCGCACGACGGGACCCAAGACCATTCTGCTCGTGAAAAAACCCAACGAACTCGACGTCACCAGCGCAATGCGGGAGGTGGCTTCGTGGCTCATGCATGAAAAGGGAATTCGAGTATTCTTGGAACCTAAAGTGCACGTCGAAGAAAAACTGGCGGGGACATTCACATGGAGTGATGATCAGGACTGGCAGCACAAGATCGACTTGGTCGTGTCATTTGGCGGAGACGGCACTGTGCTGTGGGTGTCGAACCTCTTCAAAACGAACGTGCCGCCGGTTTTTTCGTTTGCGATGGGGTCGCTCGGCTTCCTCACGCCGTTCGAGTTTTCTCGCGCCGACCGCTCTGGCGGCAATGAAGGTCCCCACTACAAAGGTGTACCATCCTTGTACCTTGTTCAGAAAGCTCTCATAACCTTGAGGCAGATCACCTGGAACGGCTCATCCGCGGAGGATTCAATCTATCGTTGCGCCATCGCCTCGTGTGTACGATATTCCGAAAGCAATTGTCGCTTGAACCTGCAATCCCACCAGTTCACGCCCTAAATGAAGTCGTGGTGGATCGTGGGGTCGGTGCGGCTTTGGTCGAACTCGACTGCTTCTGCGATGACGTCGAGTTGACCAAAATCAGCGCCGATGGAATTATCATAGCTTCCCCGACAGGTTCCACCGCGTACTCGTTGTCGGCGGGAGGCAGTATCGCCCATCCAAGGTACCATGATGTGCATTCCGTCTCCACGGCCGCTTCACTTGCTCTTCTGTAGTGTGCCGAGCATGTTGTTCACGCCCATTTGCCCCCATACATTGTCATTTCGGCCACTCCTGTTCCATGACAGCGCGGTGCTGCGAATTGTCGTGCCCACGACTGCTCGGTCGACATCCGTACGGGCACTTGCCATAGTTGATACCCAGTGATTTCCTGAATGTGAAGGGTGATGTGTGGGTAGGTCACGGTATCGTTTGACGGTAAGCACCCCGTGAAGCTCTTCCGCGACGATGCCTTGGAAGTCCGAGTGTCTTCATTTCCCCTGCCCAGCGTATGCAACTTGAACGAGAACGAAGACTGGTTCAAATCGGTTAAGAACAATCTGTACTGGAACCAGCGAAAGGAGATGAAACCCTTGCACGAGACGGCCGTGTAGATTGAGCCGCGCGCTGCTCCTGCGATGGAGGCGCATAACTTATACCGAACTACTTCATCGTCCTGTTTCTGTGCGGAGGAACTGCATGGCGTTCGTGGCGCTCGACTACGTTTTGTAGTCGGGGTTGACGTGGGCTATTGTGTCTTGCAAGAGGAGCATGACCTGATCGTGCATTTCGTGTTGCGAATGACACCACGCAGCGCTCTCTTCATCGTTGTCGCTCCCGCTCGTGCGGCCCCCATCAGTCGCGATGTTGTCGCCTGGGAGAAACTCGAGAACAACGGGCGTGGATAAACGCTGGAGCACGTCCATGACCCCGCGTACGCTTTGACGCTCTACGTTGACGCCGTTTATCGACACAAGCACGTCGCCAAGACGGCAACTCATGATCCCTGACGTGATCCCATGACCCTGCGACAACTTTTCCACGCGGCACCCCACCGACGAATTGAAGAATCGAATGCCTACATCACCGCGCTTCCACGTCAACGTATATCGATCCCGCGGCTGTGCAAGCAAAGTTGAGCTTGGCGATGGAGGCGATGCTGTCGAAGCAGCCCAATTGTGTTTTCTGAGTTGCGCATAAATCTTGGCCTGGGTGTGCATTGCTCGGCGTAGAGCGTTGAGTTGGGTGACAAGAGACGCGAGATGATCGTTTTCGTCTTCGTCATGGTCCTTGACTTTAGAGTCTGTGGACTCACCAAAGCGAACTTTGGCGGTGCTCGACACATTTTGAGGTGCATCACTCGACGACGGTTCGTTAGACCGAGTAGGCACTATGTTTGCATCACTGTCGACAGCGAGCAGCTGAACGTGAGATGCAGAGAGACCATTTTTCTCCGCGATATGACTCGGGAGTTGACCGTCGTGATTACTTTCGAGACGTCCACCAGGAAACGCTTGAATGATAGACTCGAAAAGGGAGAGGGGAATATCTGGGTCTTGACAAGCCCAGTGGAGGGGAAGGTTGCCACGTGTGTCCCGATCGCATGCATGGGAGCTGTCTTCCTCCAACTTCGCCTGCAGCTTCTTCCATTCGCGGAACTCCGCCAACACGCAAGCAGACTCGGGTGCCTTGGACCGACTCATTATGTACAGTACTCGTCCACCCGCAGTGGGAAGTTCGTATTTAAGAGATATCGAAGACGATCATTCTTAAGTACGGTACGGACGGTGATTCCGCATATTATCCGTAGGTGTCGCTTCATGTGGCGGCGACGCAGTGTACCACCCATCGAGAATAGCCAACAAACTGCTTCGGTAGCCCTCTCAATACCTTCAATTCTTTGAAAACATGACTCGATGGGAAGCAAGAAACACCCAGGACCGTGTACAGTGAGAACGGGGATGCGTTCGAGGAATGGGGCTGTGAGGTGGCGTCAGCTCGAGTTTTGACTTGTCGAATGTACGATAAACGCCTCCTTTGCCAAATCAGAATTCAGCGGAGCTACGTACAATTCAATCATTTCTGCTCGTGTTCGCATGGCCTAGAGTTGAGCAACTTCGAGACGTGACGTCCACAATACATCCTTGAGAATCGAGCTCGTTTTGTGGATTTTGAAGGAGTATGGCATTTTTAAATGAATTTTCCAGTGAAGAACGGGAATTTTGAAGAACTTTTGTGTCCTTTCGAAAAATAGGTCGGTCGAAATGCTCCATTTCGAACAAGGCGCATCTGCAAGCAATCCTCGATCGTGCAAGAATCATTCGAGAACTTCCTTACGTCATGGCTGTGGCGGCTGCGAAACTTGACGAGCTGCAGCTGGCTGAAGCCCTTCCAAAAGGGTTCAAGCGTCGTGACCGAAAGCCCCGGCTTGACCTCACGCTTCAGCAAGACGTTCACAACGAATCCCTCGACTCGTTTCTTGCTCGTGTACGACCGTCAGTCCAACACTCGACACCTTCGTCTCAAGGAGGCTCCTGGAGATGGATTTGGGTTCCTGGCCCTCACGATGCTTACACGCATCGTGCCCATGACGAAACGAGGACCCATTGCACCGCCGAAATGAATGATATCGTGGAAGAGTGGTCTGATCGTCTCGCAAGGCTCTCTCCATCCCAAGTTCCTTCCGAAGCACGAAAGGTGTCTGCCAACATATTCTCCTTGGCAAAACGATGCAACTTTGGATCGGGGAAGTTGCTTCTGTCCGTAAACTCGAACGAGGTAGACTCTGCGTGGGCTTCTGTAGCGCGCGCAACTGTTGATGGCAAGCTCGGTTGCAGTGCCAAAATATCGACTCGAGCGACGAACGACCAGCATGTCCTGTGCGTAATGCTTGACTGCTTCTGGGACGAAACGAAAGTCTTAGCCATACTCCAGTATCTCTCGGACCTCGGGCTTCACGTGGCAGCGTTCAAGCCCGACATATTTTCCGTCTTGAGGAATCACGACCTCAAAGCTCTCCATCTTCACAGTCTTCTGTACAACCACCCTGCGCCGTAGTCATAATATATTTCTGGTTGAAAAGCATCCTTCCATGGCCGGGTATGGAGCAGCGAACGACTTGTGAGGACCCTGTTGACACTACTTTGCCTCACGTCATGTCTTTCGACCTGTCAAGCCGATCCACACTCCGTCATGCTGCACGATGTGTCATATCTTTGAGTTGCATGCAGCCACGAACCACACGAAAATTGAACCAGGCATGGTGAATGGATGCTTGCACAGCCGATAGACACGACGGCCAGACACCCAAAAGACAACGTAGCAGTTCTTGCCTAGATGACCCGTGCTTTGGAGCAAGCCCTGTGAGTGCCTGCAGAGATCGTTCGTGTCAGCGATGAGTAAGCCGCTATCTAGCGCTGTGCACGAGAGGGAAAGGTAAGGACCAACGTGCCGAGGTCGTACCGAAGTGCTTGTGACGATGACGTCGTGTGTAACTTTTGCCATTTTTTCAAAAATTATTTTTGTCTCACCTAAAGGACGAGATGGGGAGATTTGACAACTTGTCAAAAGCAATAGTTCCATATTTCCCTCCGTTTTCTTGGCTCGCCACGACGTCAATACAAACACTAAGATAAGTTTATCTTGCGTACAAGTAAGGCATTTGGATTCTTTCTGCTCTCTACCTCGTGACATGCTGGCAATGAAGCGAAGACGACCATCAGACTTGTCAACCCTGTCGCCGTCACCGCTTGACCCCAGCCGATCACTAAAGCCCATATGTGTGCTCGATCCAGCGGCGCAAGCTCCTCTCCTCACTGCAACCGCCTATTCAGAAAACGACCCATCCCATACCAACTTGGACGAGTCTGTTCTAGAGGCGATGGAGAAAACCCTCCTTCGGTGTATTCAGTTTATCCTCTGCTCCATCGACCCCGTCCAGGCAAGGAACGTGGCTCAATGCGTCCTGCACGTTTGCCGCCGCCTGCCTGTGTTGTCGCCATTCGCCCATGCGTTGGAAGCGAATGCAGATGTCCAGAAACTACTCGAACATGTCGACAAATCAACGACTATCGAGCTTTCTGTCCACCAAGCAACGTCGACATCGTCGTCGCGGTGGCAATGGCTATGGCCGTTTGGAAGTCGAACACCCGTGGGATCTCCTCGCGGCAACGCCATGCATCACAAGTCAATGTTCGATTGCAGTCAATGCGGGAACAACGACACTGACGACGAAGATGATGATACGTCCGACATTGGTTGGGCCGTGCGATACATGCAGCGCGAAGCGAAGCTTCCTCAAGAAGTTCATCGGCGGATGCAGTTTATGATGCATACACAGGTCCCATTGAATCTGTTTCGCGTCCAGGTCAAGTACGCCGAGAAGGAAGACATGGACGACGCGTTGATCGGGAAAGTGTCTCCAGAAAGTTTTCCCCCGACGCCAATCGGGCGCGAATTCCACACTCAGCGAGTGACTCATTACACTGTCGCCGTCTTGGACCGAGCCAACCAGGCACTCCAACACCTCAACGCCCGCAGTTTGACCGACCAGTGAGTGCCACCGTTGTTTAATTTAACAGTATATATCAACATTGCAGCATCCACGCATCGGATTGTGCCTACACCGCGTTCCGTGCAATCGTAGCGCTTGGAATTCTCAAAACCCTCTCCTCATAGCGCAGGCATCGTCATGCCAAACCACGACGGTCGTTGGAGAAACGACGAAAGATCTTCCGGCAGGTTCGATCGAGTGCCTTTCGAATTCGACGGGCCAGCTTGGCCAGATGACGTCATTCCAACGCTTCTGCGCCGGGTTGTCATGTCCGTGACGAACAATCACGGGCAGGTTGCGATGCGAACGTTCGAAGGGTACGGGGCTCAGTGTCCTTGGTCTTGTCAGGGCGCTCACGTGAATGGAAGAGCACGTAGTTTGGTGTCTCGGGGACACCGCCTTTCGTGGTGGCCATTACGTGCGAAAAAAATCGCCCGCGCGATGAAGATTCCCGAGATGTGTGGAGAGTGTTTTCGCCAGGATGAGAAAGTTACTAGTATAAAGTATTAGAGGTTGCAAGTCTTCGTGGATTTCATGGAAAATTCAATTTCTCGCCGCAAGCTACTGACGGACACGGCGGCAGAGCTTGGCGCGAGAGGCATCTCTGAGTGGGAGACCAGCAAGAATTCAGAAGGACGCAGATAATCGTGATTCAAATGCATATGCAGTCTGTCAGTGCCATGTAAAGGTATATTTAGTGGCATCCACGGGCTGCGCCACGACGGCACGCGCCGGCAAGGTGCTGCCAATGAAGCTGCTCCACAGCACGCGCGCCTTGGCCGAAACACCCGTCATGTTTTGTTAAATACTACTGAAGCGACATACACACCAGGGATACCATAATGAAGAGCATGACCACAGCAGACGAAAGTGGAAAGGACCGAGAGCTGCGGGATGTGACGGTCGGGTACGGACCACTGAGGGTTGGCCGAGGCGTTGTGGGACGTTTCGTAATCGGCAGAGTCGCTGCAATCGTCGATGGTGGCGGTGCGGTGCGAAAGAAAGTTGATTTTGGTGGTAGGGAAGCGTCAGACGGGGCATCCTCATCGTACTCGCTCAGCACGGCTTCGCATAAGGCCGCCGTTTGAATTGCCATGTCGTGCAGGTTGGCAATTTCCTTGGATGTGATGTCAATCAAGGCGTCGCAGTTGGGCAACAGCGCCCACGGCTCGAGCACGCTCTTGCACGCGGGTACAGAACACACTTGAAAGAAGAGCGTGTCGTTCATCGAGATTTGGTCCCACTTGTCGACAGGGGACGAAAAGTTCGCCGTTGCATCGGCCCACAAATCCTGACACTGCGGAGGGGCAATGAGACCGTCCTTGAGGGCTGCCTCGATCAGCTCCTGTTCGGTGTCGTTGCACGGGGTGAGCGGCTTCGTCTCGACCATCTCGGCGTGAGCGCAGCCAGTGAGAGCAGCTACAAAGAGCGCAACAACGAGGGACAGATGCATGGCGCGTTGGCAATGCGGAACGATGTCAAGTGCTTCGTGCGCGAATTGTGGAGGTGATGGCCATTACACATTCGTGCCGTCTGGTTTTTCTGTGCAACTTTGACTTATCTTGATATTTGTATGTATTATATTTAAAATGACTTCCATTTTTCTGTTTTTACATCGCAATTTCGTTCGATAATTGCAAACTAAAAGACGTCTAGAAATAATTCAAAATACATGGTACATTCAAACTTTAAAATGTTATCCAAAGTACATACCATTTGGATATCATGGACACACAAGGGCACACGCAGTTGAGCATGACGGACAAGCAAAATGATGCCTTGCGTCCTTCTGCGTCACATTCGATGCATCAGCTTGGGCAGACTAAGTGTTTCACCTAGTAGGCGCCAAACAACGCAACGATTGGAAATTTCCACAGAGTGGCGCGCCTTACTGCACCGACAGGAAGGAGCGATCCACTGACGCCCTGTGACGCTCCCGGTGATCGAGCAAGTTCTGCGAAGGACTCGGAGTTTAAATAGCAAGAGAACTTATTCGTCTACAAGCTGCGGTGTACTAGGCTTACTATCTCGTCGATCAATACGCAACTAAGTCCTCCAAGAGCTGACTTCACAACGTGAAGCAACGTCGGTTGCAATGCGATCTCGATCAAACTGACAAGGTCAAGCGCGGGGGTTCAGAGAAATTACATGAAGTACATCTAGCGGAAGCAATGGCGAGGTCTAAGGAGATATGGAGACGCGCCTGTCAAGGCACAGTTGTCAACTCCTCGGATCGCACGAACATCATTTTTTGGAAATCCAGCCTTTGTATAAATAATTCAAAGAATTGGTAAAAATTGGACATGTAAGTTTCCAAGGAACCTGGAAATTGATGTGTGGAATTTCCTGACTTGAACGGCGGATTCGCTTTCTAGCTACCCCATGACAACGGTGACGCTCCATGGCGTCCATCCCAATTGAAGTTATCGCTGTCAGCGCTGAGGTGCGGCCATCAAGCCACTCATTGCACGTTACTCGGGTGTCGTCGTGTCGTCGACTGAGTTCGATCACACGAGGGAAGGCGACATTTGAAGCGGCGATCACACGCGGCGGTCGCAAGTACGCACTTCTTCACGGGTAATTGATGTTTAGTCTGCAAACTCGGACACGTGGTTGTTGTACTTTCGCTTTGCCAGGCGGGCCTTCTTCTGCTTGGCCATTTCAATCGAGTCATCTACCTCTTGCAAGGCCTTTCGCTTTTTCAACGTTCCGGTCTTGGCTTGCTGGCTGCCCTTGGTCACTTTGTTGGACGCGGGCGGTTCGCGCAACGCAAAACTTTTGGCAACGTGGCCAAAGTGCAGACTGCGCACGTGAAAGTACTGCCTTGTCTCACTACCACGACCCGATGGGTTTCACGTCAAGGCTGCGGAAAGAAGCGTACCTGGCATGGGTAGCATAACTCCGGACAAACGATTGGAATGCCTGACACGCCATGTCAAACAGCTCCGTGTTGGCCAAGACGGACTGTTCGAACAGATACTGGAGCTCGTGGACCACAACCTACGTTTCAGGACGCTGCATTTTCGAGACAGAGCAAAGGCAAGGGGAGGCATGAACCTCATGGATAGCCTTCTTGCTTGATGGTTTGAACTCGCCCTTGTACGCGCTACGAGCGAGCGTCGACTCCAAACTCAGAGCGGTTAAATTCAGGCCATGCGTCTTGAGATGGTCGCAGTAGGCAGATTCCGACGGAAGCAAAAACAGCAGCGAGTTCCCAACCTTGTCGATTCGTCAGATAGATAAGCCAGCATGAACACAAGACAAATCGCAGGCACGGAAAACAAGCCAGCGTAGATTGGTGCGATCTGAATTTGACCATGCACGGGCACGTAGGCGGCATCAATAGAGATTGTTAAAACATACCGCGCCACTGCGGGCTGTGCGGCCGACGCGATGGACATAATCCCTCGTTTCCGTGGGCGGATCGTATTGCACAATCCATTGAACCTACGCCCTCCACCAAGCACGTCAACGATCATGCCCTGCCTGCGCCGCCAAATCCATGGAATGCGCACCGTGGGCAAGTTCAAACCGCGCGCCGCGACGTCCGTGCAAAAGAGGACTCCCGACGACGCTTTGCAAAACGCTTGGAAGGTCGCAGTGCGGTCTTGCTGGTTGACATTGCCGTGCAGGCGGAAGACAGGTGGCCCAAACATCGACGCGCTCTGGGGCCACTGGCACTTTTGAAATAGAGACGAGACGAAATCGACGGCATCGCACGTCGACATGAACACGACGATCTTGGCTCGGAGTTTGTTGCGCCGACACTCACCTCGCACAAACGCGCTCAGCGCACACAGCCGCTGCTTGGCCGGCACAATCATAAAGTGCTGGACGAGTTGGTCGGGCGTGGCAAACGTGGATTCTGGGCCTCTAGAGTCACACGGATGGTGTCAGCTCAATCCTGGAAGGCCAAGGGGTAGTTGGAGGTCGATCGACCGTCTGTCGTACTTGGAAGCGTCGGCATCGATAAACTTGGGGCTGGTCAAACTCAGTGCCGCGAGTCGCTGGACACCAGCGTTGATTGTGGCTGACACGAGGATGCTTTGGCGGGTGATATCGTCGTCGATTTTCGCGACGAGGCATTCCAGAATCTGCGCAATGCTCTTTTCAAACCCCAAGTCCAACAACCGATCTGCTTCGTCCAGCACGAGATACTGCAGTCGGTTGTACTTGAACGCGTGGGTGTTGGTGAAGTGGTCAATGAGCCGACCGGGCGTTGCCACCAAGATCGACACGCCTGCAACACATTGCTGTCGTTTCAAGGGCAGTGACAACAGGCTGAATCACCTTTGCGTAGCCGCGCTTTCTCGGCCTTCTTTTTCTCCCCGCCGACCACACAGCCAGCCACAATGTACACTGCGACCTTCAGCAGGCTAGACACAGGTGACCCAAGGTGAGGACGGCGTTTGATTGAGCCCAAAGAAGGGCGTACCGTTCGAGAGTTTCATGGATTTGAATGCAAAGTTCGCGTGTGGGGGCAAGGATCAAGGCGAGGCATCCTTCGCTGCGGCAGACTCGCTCTGTGCGGGACATAAGCGAGTGAACGATCGGGAGGCAGTACGACAACGTCTTTCCCGACCCGGTTTCGCTTTTGAGCATCACGTCGCCGGCTGCGAGAATCGCGGGAACACTGGCCACCTGCACCCGAGTGGGCTGGCTGAAGCCAAAGCCTCCCGCATCCTTGTCTTTGGCCAAGATCGACACAATGTGAGGATGCAACTTCATGGCGCCGAACGTCGCTTGTTTTGCAAATATTTCGGTCGATTCTTTTGACGGCAGCGGTGTGTTGTGGACAACCATTGTCGACATGTCCAGCGAAGGCTTCAAATACGAGTCCGCAGAGTACGCGTCCTTGTTTGGGTTCCGCCGGGTGCCTTTTTCCTTGGTGAGAGTCAAATTTGAGGTTGGATTGATGGGTTGCGATGCCGATGCGGCGGGCACAACTTGTGTCTTCTTCGTAGCACTCTCGGTCGACGGGTGGTTGGACGCAACGGGCGCTGGTATGTCTACGTCGGACGCATCATCATCCGGTTCGTCCTGCTCCGATTCGTCCACAGGCTCGTATTCATCGTCGGACGGCTCGTCGCTCTGAGGTGGTGCCACAATGGCTGGTTTTGGCGCCGGCGTTGTCGTCGAGTGTTTCGGACGCACCACACCTGCCCTAGGGGTATCTCCCGCCAATGCACTTCCATGAGCATGTGCCTTTCGCTGTGCCTTCTTCTTGTTCTGCCGAAACTTAGTGACCTTCTTCCTCTTGACCACACGCGGCCCCGACGGCGTCGCCAAGTTGAGCGAAAAGCCGTCCATCGTGTTGAAAATGCGCTTTGCACTTGACAGGACCAATCAACGTGGCCACGTTGCATAAGCACACAAAAGTCCTTATAACAAGGTAACATTTCTATTAATAGAAACACATTGCGTTCGACAACAGCATGCCGTCTCATCTGCCGCCGCCGACGCTGCTCGACTTGCTGTGCCGCAAGGAGGTGATCTTCAACGGGCCCATGTCCACGGAGCCCATCTTATCTCGCGTGCTTGTCTATCTTGGCATGCAAGTACGTCGACGATGCGTCGACTAGCACGTCGTGGAATTCACAACATGTTAGCATGAGCTGGGCAAAGCGCATTCTCCTATCCAACTCGCGGCGCGACTTGGATCGACTTGCATCAAATTCCTCAAACTGACCAGGAAGAATCCATACTTTTACCGGTGGCTTGTGCTGCGGCCGCCGTCCTCTGCAAACCTCCCTATGTTTCAACGTCTCGTTGGTAGCGCATTTACCACCAGGACGACGCCGCCCAACATCGAACGATAGATTTGCACACGACCGCCATTCGCTGCCTCGACTTGTCCTTCTGCCACGACTACGTCACTGACGCAGAGCTGAAGCGACTCGCTGCGACCTGTCCGTTCCTCACGCAGTGTGTTCTGTGGGGATGCCACGACCTGACCGACGAAGGTATGTGCCATCTTCTGGGATTTCTGTGGCCGTGACATGCGTTCACTGGCGGAAATATCTACTTCGAGCCTGCCTACATGCAAAGGACTGATCTTATGTAGGCATTATCACATTGGCGTCGAACTGCCCATACTTGACCTTTCTCAACTTTGGCGCATGTGCCAAGGTCACCGACGTCACCCTTGAGCGTATTGGAAGCGATCTCATGTACTTGGACAACCTGCACCTGAGCGGGTGTCCGCTGGTCACCGATGCAGGGATCGCAAAGTTGCTGCCGTCCAGTCGAGTCGTCTTGCAGCTGCGGCAAACGACAGACCCACGACCTGTGCCGTCTGAGGTAACTTTACTCCATCATCGCGGATCAGTATCACGGCTCGTGACCGCAGTTTGACTTGCATCACATGAAGACTCAACTGCGCAAGTTCGATTGCATCAAAGTCACGTTTCGACGGGTTGCGGCATCGACCGACGAGCTCGTGCTCCACTTTGCAAGCCGTCCCAAGGCGGTGGGTCTGTGGTGCGATGCGAAACCGAACAAGTTCATGCCGCGTCTAACGTCGCACGATGGCACGCACCACTATGGCGGGCAGTACGTGTGCACGTCGTTGAAGGTGCTCAACGTCATCGGGTGCCCCAAGGTGTCCCGCGCAGCCCCCGCCAAGCTCAAGAGTCACCACACGCAGATCAAAGTTCTCCAATGACCCGCCATAAACGCAGAATGGACCTAGAGACCATCCATCTCCAGGAGGCCATCGTTGACATCATCGAACTCCACCGAACAAATGGAAACTGGTTATTTAATTCTTCTCGTGGTTATAGTATTGGTTTTTATATGTACCACGAAACTTTTAAATAAAAAACAAATCGTCGCTCTCTATTCGGCAATGCTTTACCTGGACCATTCCGACAGTTCTGCTATGCTAGTAGTTGCCGAGAACTCCAACCGCGCCGCAGCCGACGCGTTCGCGTCGACACAGCCACAGGTCGTGACGGTGATTGATGTTACCGAGGCGGTGAAGAAGGAAAACGGCAGTGTCACGGAAAAGCTGGTATTCTTTGGTGGCGTTGAGCACTTTGCCACGTTGCATCGTGTGCTGCAACCTGGTGGCAACTTGGAAGCGTTCCTCCGCGTGGAAGGAAATGAAGCAAACAAAAACGCCGTCTTGATGCAGCTGATCATGCAAGGTTTCTTGAACTCGAATGTCGATATTGATGGAAATGGCATACACGCTCGCGCTCAAAAGTCGGGCTTTGTCGAAGGGGCCAGTGCCGCCGTGAAATTCATCCCCGTGCAGAAACCAAAGTATGAATCGTCTGCATACTCTGTCGCAGCGTAGAACATTCTCACATGCGCGCATTTTGTCCTGTAGATGGACTGTCTTAGCTGACGAAGACGACGAAGGCGATATAGTCGACGAAGACGACCTTCTCGACGACGAGGACGTCGTCATGTCGCGGGACGACTGCGGCCCGGGCAAAGACGGAAAGAAAAAGCGTCGTTGCAAGGACTGCACGTGCGGGTACGCATCTATATCCCTTTCTTCTCCATGCCTTCACGGTCGATTGCACTTGCCAGGCGCAAGGACGAGGATGACCAACCGATCGTTTCCGAGGCCGAACTAAAACAAATGGTGTCCAATTGCGGTAATGTACGTAGCTATCGACGTGATACTTCCTCGATGCATTCATCCTCATCTCGTGCGTGATGGGTAGTGCTACAAGGGAGACGCGTTCCGTTGCGGCGGGTGTCCCTTCCTCGGCCAGCCCGCCTTCAAGCCTGGCATGGGCAAAGTTGTGCTCAACCTGGACAACTCGGACGACTTTTAGACTGTGTTGTACTCATTTCCATAGGCGCCTATCGAGATGAATGTACGAAACCTTTCCCACTACGCAGTCCCCCACTGCCACAAGGGCAAATAAATCCATGGCGCGGTCTTCCGCTGGACTGTTGTTGTCGCTGCATTCTACGTTGCTGTGTGCAATGCAATCGTCGCATGTGGACGAGGTGGTTGCCGGGGTTTTGGCGGAGCATCGGGACGTGATTATGTGCGCACGAGATGTCGATCGAATGCTCATCCTCGCAATGCTGCAATCCGTCGCCTTTAGGTTGCGCATATGCGCCGACGGATTACTTGGAAAAGCACCACTTCCTTCACAGGCCGCGCCAATTCCCCTTGGAATCGTCCGTTGCCCTGTCGTTTGCCACATCACCAGCTGTGGATATTTCAAGCAAGTCCCAGCGCCCTCACGGCGCTTCGAACTCACCAGTACAGGATGCACTTGAAAAATAAACGACTGCCGCGGGACGCATGGTTGGAGACGTGTCTGTCCAAAGGCAAGTTCATGGGGAGAGAGAACTGCTCGTATTTGTCGAAACGAATCCTTTTGACACAGATCGATCGACTGCCACTTCGCAATACAAGCTCATACATATCCAGCAAAGATCGCAGCTCCTGCCATCACGATGACACCAAGCATGTTGCTCGCTGCAGCGGCAGAAGTGCCTTGTGTGGTTTCATGAGTGGGGGGAGCCATCGATGACGATGGCGTCACAGTCGGCACTCCTCTCACTGGCACCACGGTCTTGACACTTGGCTTTATCGTGCTGCCTTTGCCAGTGTTGATGACGTCGCCAGGACACAACGGCGTTTGCGTTAGATCTGGGCAGAGCATATCCGTTTCTTTGTCGGCGGGCCAGAGGACCCCAGATATGGATGGCACGTCGGCGGGGCATTTTGGCAGTGTCGTGTGTGCTGGCGTGTACGCAGACCGCCCGACGAGATGGTCCATCGTCGCGTTGCTATACTGTTTGGCAAGGTAGTCAAAGTTGGGCATACGATGGAACACGCACGGCGTCGAGTCGGCATCGCACCCTTCCGGCTCAAAGTACCCCAGGCCATAGTTCTGCGCCCCAAATGTCTTGAACGGGTACGGCGAGTCGGCCTTGGAATTTTGGTTCTCCGTCAAGAACTCAAACGCGAAGCCACCGGCAAACACGTCCGCGAACGCCGGCGAGAGTAACCAGGTTGCATCGAGCCATGTTCGTTGGGCAGCATAACCATCAACGGTGGGAAACCCGACATTCAAGCAGCCGTACTCGGTCAGCAGCGTGGGGATCGCGAGTTGATACGCCGTGAAGTCACTGAGAAGGTTGCGGTACCCCGCGCCGATTTCTTTCGGGTTCAGCGCCGCCAGCGGGTCGCACTGGAGGTACGCATTCAATCCGTACCCTGTCAACACCTTCAGATGCGGAATGTGAAGCAGGAGGAATCGTACATTCTGCATTTTCGAGCTCATCCGTCGGGTCGGTGCGGCAAGCGTAGTAGAGCGCGTTAATCGATCGCTCGTGGTCAGCCAGGACAACTCCAACGGGAATGTTGCGCATGTTGGTGTCGCAGCCGCTGATGTACGCACGCATGTCTCGGATGAACTTTTTCTGGCACGGCGCATTGATCTCCATTGTCGACACGTAGTGATTCACTTCGTTCCCTGCGCTGAAAGCCTACGACACATGAGGCCGTACCGACCAAAACCGTGAACGCACCAAAACGTTGTTGTACTTGGAGAATGCCGCGATGATCTGTTGGCCGCGCGTCTTCAAATGTGCGGGGTAGCACGCAGGATATGGGTCCTTTGTGATTGCACAATCCTCACAACTGGACGCCAAATCGATCAACACGTAAATGCCAGCATTCGAGAGTGCACACATGAACTTGTCGTGGCTCTTGGACGGATCCACAGCGTACAGACGCACGGCATTTATTCCCAGCGCGATAAACTCGGCCACGTGCGGCTTCCAGATGGACTCGTGGTCGTCTGTGAAGAAGTCGAAGTTGTTGATGTTCAAGAGGCCTGCGTTCGGGCGGGGATAGTAGTCGAGCCCTTTAGCGATGAACGGTTTGTCCGTGCCATATTCAAACAACCGGTTGCCCTTGATCTCAATCGGGGCAATAGCGTGTACAGTCGTGTCCAGGAAACCTCCCAAGAAGACAGCGGCGGCAGCCGCCGACACTGCCAAGTGCATGGTGTTGTGCGACGGACGGAGGAATCCAATGTGAAACCGGTCGGCCATTCAGAGCCGAGCTGCGCCAGGATTTTTGCGTATCTTGAGCGGTCGCCCGTGAAACGACGAAAAAGAGATGAAATTTCAGGAATTGATTTGCAAAAAATGTTCCAATTACGCTGGAGGGACGTTGTTGATGAAATTGCGAGCTCCCATTGGTGGATAAAATTATCTAGGCGGTTTCGGCGTCTCGACCGCGGCTCGTTCGATGGTGCAGGCCGTTAGATGTTAGATCTTGGACATGATCTGCTTGAGTTGCGGCGTCACCTCGTCTAGCTCAGGGTTCGTCGCCTTGGAGAAGTCCGTGATGTCCTTCCATTGATCCGCCACAGCGTCGATGGAGATGGGTTTGTCCAAGTTGAAGAAGTGGCCTTCCGCCCGCGTAAACTGAACTTGGGCAACCCATCCACCGCCCGATTCAAACACAGAGCCCGTGCATGGAGCGCTCTCATGGCATAGGTAGGCAATTGTAGGGGCCACGTACTCTGGCTTCCACTGCTTTACCACCTAAATCGATCCTGCGTGGTGAGCAAACGAGAGATTGATAGTTCGTACTTCTTCCGGAAGGACCGTTGCGGTCATGCTGGACCCCGCCCCCGGAGCCACCGCGTTTACTTTAATGTTGGACCTCCCACCTTCCTTGGCCAGCGCCTTCGTGAACCCGATAATACCAGCCTTCATGGCAGCTTCACACGATTCGATGAGAAGATGGTCACACCATTCGATCGAGAGGCCAAACTACGAGACCTCACCGTAATTCGCTTGACCCGCTTGGCCGTATAAGCCGTTCACAGACGTGATGTTGACAATGCGGCCATACTTCTGAGCTCGCATGTGTGGCCACGCCGCATGGGTGACGGCAAATGCTGCAAACCTTTGTCAGTAAACGCAGCAAAGCGATGGGTTTCAGTACTTCCATCGAGGTGGACACTCTTCACGGCATCCCATTCGCCACGGGTCATCTTGTGGAACGCTCGGTCCCGCAAAATCCCCGCGTTGTTGACGACGATGTCGACCCGTCCAAAGGAGTCGATTGCCGTCGCCACCACCTTAGCTCCTGTACGTCGAGCATGAGGATGACGCGTGCATGTGATGACACTCGCGAGCACTTACCTTCCACGACAGAGTCATAGTTGGGTACTGCCACGCCACCTTGTGCGCGAATCTCCTGAACTACTTGGTCCGCTGGTCGAGGTTTATCGCCTTGCGCCAGCCCCACGTCATTCACGACCCTAGACGAGAATGTCGGAGAGCTACCAGCGTAGCGACATCGACGTACACTTTGGCTCCATGTGCAGCCAGCAAATGCGCATATGCACGACCGAGGCCAGCGCCCGCGCCGGTCACGATCGCCACCCGTTCGTCGAACCGGTACTTGGTCGCCATCGTATTCTCAATAGTTGACGAAACACGGTGGCAATTCGATGCCAAGTGTATTCATTTACAGAGGTACTGTCCCCAACATCGGGATGACGTGGCACGCCGAGAGAAAGGTCCCATCTGTACAGCTAAGTATAGCGTCGTGATCGGCCAGGAATAACTTGTTCGGCACGTCGGTCGCGCCGCCGCCATTCCCGACGCGATCTCATGGCGTCTGTGGGAACGCGGCTGTTCACAGCCACAGCCCACTTCCTTCGCACAAAGCCGATGCTGAACGAAGACGAGATTAGGTCCATGTTCACCCTAAAGGAGTATCTCGACCGGGTATACCGCTACCACCGACGCCGCTCGAGTATGAGCAGTTCTGGTCGGCAATACTTCAACGCATCCAACTTCCGACCCGTGACTCGAGCATCGTCAAGTGAGGAGTGCTCCAAGCCCAACATCACATCCTCACATTCTTCTTCGCAGGGTCGTCCGGATCTAGGAGATCCGTCGGACTGGTAGCGTCCCGCGCGGAAACCGAGTGCGGTCTAGCCACGGCCGCCATCAAGGGCATCCTGTGCGCCGTCCACCCATTCACGGAACTCTCCGAATACGAAGTGAACACGTCCGTGTTTGAAAAACTGTTTGGGACCACGATCGCGTTCTACTGGTCCCTCTACAAGCCCATTGCGACCAAAATTGCAGTCGCCACGACACTGTGGAGCTTGCTCTACAACTCGCCGCTCCAGGACCAGTTCTATCACGTCATCAGCGAAACAGTGTGCCGGTTCATCTCCATGTTTGCCATCCTGTGGCTCGTGCTCTACTTTTGGTCGCAGCTCAACTGGCGCATGACTGTCACGGTCCTCGGGTACTTTGACGCGTGGTTCTTCATTACGCAAGCAGTAAGCCCCATCCCCTTTCTTCCCCACTTCATGCCTTCCTGCCTCACGCTGCTTCGACAACCTAGATTCTGTACGCCATTGCGATCATGGCGCTGTACGAATGGGACGTAGTCGTGGTCGTGTACAACGTGTTTGGGATTCTGGGCTTCTCCGCCGTGATCGCATACGACGCGTATCCGTTGTCGATGCGGAATCTAGCCAAGTACATGCTGTTTGCCATCATGGTGTGTCTTTGTGGCGGCATGGTCATGATGAGCCTCGACAGCGGGTTCATGGACCGGTCGCTGCACATGGATGTGATGCATGGCCTCGTCCATGCCAACTGCCACGTTGACGGCAATTTAACGCTGACGTGGAGCTTCAACGTGTACGACTTCGCGATCCAGCGGCTCCAGATTCTCACCGTGTACATGATGCGCAACACGTACTGGGCGTTCAATGCGCCGAGGTACTGCGTGATCATCAAGTCCCGTGTCGCCCTGGAGGAAGTCCCAGTGATTGGGGTGCGCGTCGTGCCAGCCGAGGCCCAGCTCGGCCGCCGCAACACACTCGTCCGCCAGTCGTTCAAGGAAAGCAACCGCGCCCTTGGTACCCCGCAACCTGATCAAGTCACGTCGCGCCCGATGGGTTCGTCGCTGGGGGCATCGACGGCAGCTGGGACCCCAGCGGCCGCGTCGACGACCATCTTCGTGTCCGAGTCGAGTCGGAAAGTGACGCCGACGCTGCTGCAGCCCAACACTGGCCCTCTCTACGCTCTGCACCCGATTCAAAACAACGCGATCCACACCTACGACGGCCACCACCGCATGAGCATCGTAAGCGTGCCCAACGTCGACATGCTCGCGAGCAAATCGTCCGCCGACTACGACGTCGACACGGATAATATTTCAACCGACCCTGGTGGATTGCTCGATGAGGCGGCATCCAGCACCGTCGTTATGAGCGCCGCCCTGCCCGTCCATCGACCGCCCAAGCCCACAACGTCCCTTCACCTTCCCAAACTCAGCACGCAGAAGCTCCTCCTCGGCAACGTAATCGGGTCCCGACACATGACCAACGGGTCCCTGCGAACGTCGACCGCCCAATCGGCGATTCCAACATTGTCTCGCGGAAATGGTCTCCGCATCCCTGTCAAGACTCGCAAAAGCTCGAGCTTCCCGCGGAACCTCCACGCTCTCTCCGGCGCTCCCAAACCCGCGTCCATGGCGCAGGTCAGTCAAGCGAAGTCAGGACATGCCCATGAAAGGAAGTAGGGACATCATCTTAATTTAATAGACCGGATCGAGCCACGGTGACGCCGGCGCCATCGTAAACACCAACGTGCCTGGCACGATCACGCCGTCCTTCCACTCGCCGCGCAGCACTTCACCGGTGGGAAACCGCAGACTGCCTGTCCCGTGCTTCTTGTTGTGGTACCAGTCTCCGTGGTAGCTCTTTCCATCGACCTTGCAGTAGAACGTTCCCGATCCATGCCGCCTATTACGGCGCATCATGTATCTGTGGCATGAAGAAGGCATTGCACGTACGTGTGCCCAGCGAGCTGGCCTTCGTATTTATCGCCATTGGCATACGTGAGAATGCCGCACGCGACGGTGCCGTCTCGCCCCCACTCACCGACAAACACATCTCTGTTCTTGAACACGAGCTCTCCCTTGACCACTCCCCCGTTCCATCATTTGAGCTTTGCACAGAAGAGCATGGCTTACCTTGCCTTGCTTCACACCACCCACCCATTCACACGTATAGGTGTGGCCCTACAGCGTCGTCATCTCATACGCGTGCCAAGCGTGCGAGGTCGGCGCACCATCATGTCACGGAACGATCCAAGTCCATGGTACACGTCCATGTGCCACATGCCATCGTATTTTTCGCCGTTCGTGTACTCCATGACGCCTCTTCCTTGCTATTATACACATCTCATCAGGCCATCGCTTCACTATCTGCTTGCCATGCAGATCAAGTCCGATGTCCTTTGTACCTTGAGGTCGTGTACCCACTCGCCCGTATACTTGTTCCCGTTGTGGTGCACGTATACGCCTTTGCCATGCATTTGATCCGCTTTCCAGTCGCCTTCGTAAAGGCTGCCGTCGCCGTACCAGTACGTGCCGCTTCCGTGCATTTGGCCGCGACACCACTCGCCCTACCCCACGCACCACGTCAACGACGAATCTTCGAGCCACCAATGCATCTTGCTTCGTATTTCTCATGGATGTGTCCGTCGCCTCCCTTGTACACGATGGTTCCACGTCCGTGGCGTTGGTCGTCGAGCCAGTCGCCGTCGTATCGGTCGCCGTTGTGGAACTGATACACGCCGTGGGCGTCCATCTTACCATCTTTCCAATGACCTTTGTAAAAGTCGCCGTCGTAGTAATGTAACGTGCCCTGGATACACGCTGCGTCATGATATCCCTCGATCCATTGCATTCATCTGCTCGTCCTTACCTCGCCATGGATCACACCGTTCACCCACTCGCCTTCGTATCGGTTGCCATTGGGATACTGCCGAGCGCCAACACCATGGCATACGTCATTCTCCCACATGCCTGTGGTCACGCGTCAGCCTGCGCTCGATGGAAGCTCCGCACTGTTTGAAAGTACCTGTGTACACACTTCCATCCTCAAATTGCATCACACCCATACCGTGGCGCTTTCCGCGCACGAATTCGCCCGTGTATTTTTCTTTGTTTGGGTACACCAGCATGCCCTGGCCATGCATAAGTCCCTCGCACATTTGGCCCGAGTACTCCATCGCGGCCGGCGGTCGGGAATGTGCGACATGTCCGGATAATTAAGTTTATGCGGATACCAACTCAAATGAAACCGCCCATTTTTGCACGTGCAGTGGGTGTCAAGTGCCTTCGAATCACCCGACATATTTTTGTATTTTGAGCGTAACTTTTAAAATACTTGTGCTGATGCCATGCATTCATTTGCGCTTTGTTCCTTGTTGTACAGTGAATCGAAATAAATCGCAATAGCATGAAATTCGATTTGTTTGGGACGATTGGATATCGGATCCAGTATTTTGGTTGAGAAATACCAAAATCCTCGTACACCAAGAAG